TCTTCCCCGTTGTTGGTATCTACAATCTCCGGCATGAGCCACGAAGCACTGGGCAATGATAGGGTCCGGCTGTTCGGACGCAATCCATGTGCCGATAAAATATTTTCTGCTTCCGGCTCGCGTCCGATTGGCCCGTTCACGCACGGTCCCTCCACACCACATCAGCTCACCCATGGACGTAGCGTTAGTCTGTGATGTAGTGACTTTCTACAAATAAAAAAGTTATAACTCCTAAACCAAACATTCAAATTAAATTCCAATTACACAATTGGATTTCTTGTAATAAATTCTTCAAAACAAGATCCCACATACATATATTTTGATAAAACTTTATTAACGAACATTTATCTTATAAAGATAGAACATTTTTTTTATTGATAAGAGATGATGTTCTAGCTTCAGAGAACAATGTTCCGCCTTCGTAAGAAAAATATTTTGGTTTAGAAGCACAGTATTCTAGTTTTATGTTCATACAATTGGTATTATAATATACATAAAAATAAAAATAAAAATAATAATAACAAAAACGAAGAAATATATAGAAATAGTAAATAAATAAATACATAACATAAATAAAAAATGATAAAATCTATAGCAAAGATAAGGAAAAAAATAAAAACACATAATAGAGAAAAAATTTGAACCACATCACATGGATATTTTTCAAATATCCTAAAATATACTATAGAATATCATATGTATACTAAGTGAACATCACTAAATACATCATAGAACATCACTAAATATATCATAGAACATCGAATATATATTACATGAATATCACTAAATACATCATAGAACATCACATGCATACTAAGTCAACATCACAAAAAAACATCATAAAACATTAAAAAAATATTATGGAACATCACATGTATACTACATAAAAATCAACAATATAAAAACATTATAGAACATCATATGTATATTATGTGAACATGACAGAACACAACATACACTACTACTGCAAACTTAATAGAGGCGGGCAAAAGAGATTAACGGAGGTGGGCAAACCATCCGTCTCTGTCGAAAGGTCACGGTTAATCCGTGCCTACGGAGGCGATTGGTTCGTCCGCCTCGGTTAATACATTAACCGAGATAGGCACCTTACGGCAATCGCCTCAGTTAATGCATATTAACTGAGGCGGGCACCCTTAACCGCCCACCTCCGTTAACCGATTGACCGAGGCAGGTGAGTAAAGACGACCGCCTCAGTTAAACTATTAATGGAGGCGGTTCTTATTACTTGTCCGCCTCCGTTAATGATTTTCTAGGAAAAAATACTTTTTTAATTCAAATTTGAATTTGAATATGAATTCTATTTTTGCAAATTAAACACAGACAAAGCATATAATACGCATATAGAGGACAAACATATATTACATTCATTCGTATGTCAGATATCACATGTATACTAAGTGAGCATCACTAAATACATCATAGAACATCACATGCATACTAAGTGAACATCACAAAAAAACATCATAGAACATTAAAAAAATATTACGGGACATCACATGTATACTACATAAAAATCACATGTATACTACGTGAACAACATAAAAACATCATAGAACATCATATGTATATTATGTGAACATGATAGAACACAACATACACTACTACTGTGAACTTAACAGAGGCGGGCAAAAGAGATTAACGGAGGCGAGTAAACCATCCGCCTCGGTCGAAAAGTCACGGTTAATCTGTGACTACGGAGGCGGTTGGTTCGCCCGCCTCGGTTAATACATTAACCAAGATAGGCACCTTATGGCAATCGCCTTGGTTAATACATATTAACCGAGGCGGGCACCCTTAACCGCCCGTCTCTATTAACCGATTAATTGAGGCGGGTGAGTAAAGACGTCTGCCTCCGTTAAACTATTAACGGAGGCGATTCTTATTACTAGCCCACCTCCATTAATGATTTTTCTAGGAAAAAATACTTTTTAATTCAAATTTGAATATGAATTCTATTTTTGCAAATTAAACACAGACAAAGCAGATAATACGCATATAGAGGACAAATATATATTACATTTGTTCGTATGTCGTCCTCCATGAACCAACATTAAGTTACTATAAAGACACCAACACTAAGTTATAGGGAGCATATAAACAGAGCAGTATTAAAAAATACAGCCGGATAGCTCTAGATCTATTTTATCTCTCCTCCATGTAGATCTAGATCTAGAAAAAAGCACCCAAATGTTGAAAAAGAGAGAAGAATGAGGATTGTAGAGCGTGTAGCAACCTCTTGTGGTGCCCTGTGGGGGGTACGACCCCGGATACCCACGGCAGACTACATGAGCTGCACCTCCAGGGGTGGTCTAGCCCACAAGACGAAGACTTACGGTGCACGATACTGCTCGGCGTGTACCGCAAGACATCAAGAGCGATATCCTAAAGATGCTACGAGATCTATTAGGATATGCTCGATCCCATGATTCCTATAATCTCTTATTATTTACCGGTTATCTTCTAGATCTAACCGACTTATAACCCAACCCCCGACTATATAAGGCGGGTATGGACCCTCTCAAAACACACGTGATATCATATGATAGCCAATACAAACCAACAGAGCACAGAAGTAGGGTATTACGTCGTGCAGACGGCCTGAACCTAACTCTTGTGTCTCTATTGCCTTCTTGTTCTTGATTACGCGCACCTTTACCGATCAATCTACCTTCGTGGGATACCCTCGAAGGACTGCCGATGATATTCTATCAACAGTTGGCGTGCTAGATAGGGGTGTGCGTGCTGTTTCAACAAATCTAAAGACAACTTTACCCCTTACAAATGCTCAATTTTTGGGGTTTTGGAGCTCAAAACCTACAAAAATAGAGGAGAAGCCGTGAGGAAGAAAGGTTGGGGCCAGCTGGGCGCGGCATTTATAGCCCAGGATTAACCGAGGCGGGCAACTTAAGGGCAACCGCCTCGGTTAATCGGTATTAACCAAGGCGGTCGCTTAAGGATGCCCGCCTCCGTTAAGTTTTAACTGAGGGCGCTGGGCCGGCAGCCCGGCCAACGAATAACGGAGGCGGGCCACCAGCCCGCCGCCTCGGAGCCCCATTTGCAAACGCCTCGTAAAAGACTTTGTGTAGTAGTAATAGAACATTAAATGTATACTACGTGAACATCACATATATAGGAAATAAAAAAGTAAAAAAAATTATTAAAGCAATTATTAGAGAAAAACAACAAAAAGGAAAATACACATAAAAACATGATTAACAAATGATAAATATATAGAACAAATAAAATAAATGCATAACTTAAATAAGGACAAGAAAAAGAAAATTAAAAAGAAAGAAAAATAAATTAAGAATGAAAAAACATAGAAAACTAAAAAGAAAAGAAAAAGGAAGAATAAATAGAAGCAAGGAAAAACAAATAAAAATAAAAAGAAATCAGGAGAAAAGTAGAAAGGCTTTTTTTGTGGAAAAACTATGAAGTCATAGTTTTAGTTAGTAGAAACCTAATTCGTTAAAATTCCGTCCAGTAAAACAGAAGAATTATAAATTTCTAAAATTATAGATAGGAATATCGCGAATAAAGCCGTTGCGAGCCCCATAAAAGGAGCAGTCCCCCAACCCGGAACAACTTTCCCATATTCCGAATTCAAGGGTTTCAATAAACTACCTGCGCCAGTCCGTTTTGGCTTAGGTCTAGAACTATCTTCCACGGTTTATGTAGCCATAAATTATATTTAATTATTGGTGTTGACTTTGTATACTATTCTAGAGGTAAAAATAAATAATAAAAAAAATAAGAAAAGAAAAGGAAATAAAATAAGGATGAAAACATAGAAAACTATAAAGAAAAGAAAAAGGAAGAATAAATAGAAGCAAGGAAATAAAACAATAAAAAGAAAACAAAAGAAAAAAAAAGAAAAGAAAGGAAAAATAAATAAATAAGAAAGAATATGAAAAAGAAAAGGAAACATCAACGGACCATAAAAAACAACAGTGCAGCCGGCCCAATAGAAAAACATCAACCTGCTGCTGCTGCCGCCTCCTGCCTACTGTTCGGCGCACGGCTCAGATCCGGCCGTTCGGACCGGATGATTTCCGCGAAGCACTCACGGGACAGGTGGTATCTTCCTTCACTCTCATCATCTGAGTCAAAGACCCGGTAGAGGAGGGTAGTCATACAGAGATTGTTGGGGAGTTCGGTCGCATATCCGATCATGATGATGAACATAGAGTGGTGCTTGGTGGGTGACAACCTAATAACAGTGATGTGTAGATGTATCTGTCATGCATGCATGCTCATCCTTGTAGGTAGAGCACGATGTGATCTGGTTCATCGACTGGCACGGGGCTAGGACACGGAGGTGAAGTGGCGAAGTCCAGGCTTCTAAATTAGAAGGCCTAGTTGCTGGCGAATGTGGAGGCATGGTTGAGTTTTGCCATCGAGTCAGCGACGAAGTCCAAGACGACAAAGGTGATGATGTAGCCTGCTGGTGCGAGATCACTGATCTCATTGATGAAGAAACCCATCAGATCCATCTAGACGAATATGTGCATGACAAACCCCTTGGTGCACTAACTGTCAATGTTTTTTTACCATCGATGAGTAATTATGTGTATCACGCATAGTGGATGGAGTAGCATTAAGGATGGAGAGATTATACTAGTCCAGGCAGGAGTGCTCTACATCCAGTATCTATAATGGCTTATATCACGTGTCTCGAAGGTTCGCTTCAAGGAAGGACTTTGAAAAAAACGCTTGTGTCGTCCGACTCCGGGGCGGCTCAGGTGGAACCCACCGTGCCCACCGCCGGGGCGTCTCCTCCCCACTGCCTCCCCCTCGCCGCTGCTGGAGCGTGCCACCGGAGGCTGGTGGCCGTGAGGATGGCAGCTGCGGGGCGTTCTTCCTCGCTACGTTCGCACGGCTTGGCCGAAATATGGCGCCGCCGTCGCTATCTGCTCCGGCGTCCGCAGCCCACGGGCCAAGATTCGTCGTTCCCATGCGTGGATCCACAGACCCCCGACATGGATCTGTTGTTTCGGTGGCTCCTGGGCAGCGGCTATCCTCTCTCTCCCTCCCTGTTGGTGATGGCCATGGCACGGTGGCCGACGGCAGCTTGCTCCCGCCGTCCCACCGCCGATCTGGTGCGGCCTTCACCGGACCCGGTGGCCCTATGGCTGGATCTGACGAGCCCCAAGACGGAGGGCCCTCTCATGGAGGCAAGCAGCGGGGCGGCGCACGAGCGTGGGTGGCGAAGCGCCGGGAAGCTCGTGCTTGGCATGCTGCAGTGCCGGCAGTGTCTGATGCGACTACGAGAGGTTCACCAGCGCGGTCTCGACGGTGGCGACGGCGGCGTGGGCTCGTGCACCGGCATGGGCCCGGTGGTGCCTACTGCGCATGGAGGTGGCCCTGCTGTGCTGCTGTCTGCATTTGCCTGGCGGCACAGGGCTGGCTTCGAACCTCCGCTGGCTGGGCCCAACCGAGCAGCGAAAGCGTCATGCCAAGTGCGCGGGGAGGCGCTCCACCTCCGCTTGGTTATTTTGGTTCCTGGTGCTAGCTCCTCCATTGGCTTTGTGCAATGAAAGTGTCGCACCAGGTGCACGGGGAGGTCCTTCACCTTCGCACAAGCCACAGCTACTGTTGGGCCTCTCCCCCTTGTTTCGCCGATGTGAGATGCCTCCTGCTCCCTTCCTCATCTTTCTTCTCTTGAGCCTGCCTAATTCTAGCTAGTGCCTACTACCATGACTCTGCGAGTGTCTATCTTCGACGCTTCTACTCCGTCGGCGCTCTCCATGTTGGTGGTGTCACTAAAATCAAATGCCAAGTTGATCCACCTCTTCCACCATCCCCCGTCGTGGCTTCCTCCCCATGGACAATGTTGGATGGCGGTATGTGGAGCCAAGATGTGCTAACTGGTGTTCCTCCAGCTTGTAGGGAGATCGTCATGTTCGGTGGGCTTCGGTTTGCGAGCATCTTTCCACCTTTAGTTCCCATTCTATGTGTGGTCCCTCATGGTGGAGGGGCGGTGGCAGAGAGCCACAAGGGGTGGGGTGGGTGTGCAATGGCTATAGTTCTATCGACAAGTATGTTGTTGTTGGCGGTAGCTCTTGTTCGACGAATGGTGGTTGTTCGTGGGCCGGGGTCTTGGCTTGTCTTCGAGTTTGTACACTTCTTGGACATGGCTGGCATGCGAGTTTGACTCCTGTCATGGTCTAGCGAGTGTCCACCTTTGGCGCCTCTGCTCCATCAGTGGTCTTCTTGTTGGTGGTGTCATCAAATCTCATGTCGGGTTGTTATCCACCTCTTCTATCATTCCCCTTCAAGGATTCCTCCCCTTGTTTTGGCATTGGATGATGGTACATGGAGCTCGGATGTGTTGCGAAAGGTGTTGCCTCTAGCTCAAAGGGAGGTCGTTGTCTCCGGTGTGCCCTTGTTGGCGTGTGAAAGGTCCTAATGGCTAGAGGGGGGGTGAATAGCCTATTGAAAATTTCTACAATAACACTTAACAAATGTGTTAGACAATTAAACGGTGAAGCGAGTGTTGCGCTAGCCTACTAAAAGAGCAAGCCACCTACCATAATTCTAGTGTCTATAATCTCTAAGCATATAATGGCTATGTCACTACACTAAGTTAGTGTGCTCTTAAAGACTAACTAAAGAGCAACGCTAACCACTAGACCCAACATAAGTTTGCTCTCAAAACTAATTACACTAAAGAGTGAAGCAACACTAGAAAAGTAAATGCAAGGTAGGGGATGTGATGATTATACCGCCATGTAGAGGAATTGAGCCAATCACAATGATGGAGCCAATCAATCACAATGGATACCAAGAAATCCTCGGACAATGGTGACACAAGATTTTTTACTGAGGTTCACTTGCTTGCCGGCAAGCTAGTCCTCATTGTGGTGATTCACTCACTTAGAGGTTCACACGCTAATTGGCATCACATGCCAAACCCGCAACCGGGTGCCGCACAACCAACATAAGATGAGGATCACACATGCCACGAGCAATCCACTAGAATACATTTTGGCTCTCCACCGGGGAAAGGTCAAGAACTCCTCACAATCACCATGATCGGAGCCAGAGACAAGCACCTTCATTCGCTCGACGATCCTCGCTGCACCAAGCCATCTAGGTGGCGGCTAAAGGATCTCTGGTTGGCCTAGAGAGGGGTGAATAGGCCTATCAAAAACAAACACTCAAATTTTTATCAAATTCACCCTATGGCACTGTCACTCTGGAGGGCGGCACTACCGTACCAGAATAGCGGCACTGCTGCACCTGTAGACAACTTCGAGTCACAGTTCAAAATCAGTGAATGAAAACTTAGATCGGAGAAATTTCTCAACCTACTGCAGGAATGATAGTCACATATCAAGAGCTAGAAGTTGTAGGAACACTACTCATAAGGAGATCGACTAGAAACCCTAGAAATCACCTCAACCAACAATATAAAATGCAAGTAATGTAAATTAAGCACAAGTGACACAATGATTTATCCCATGGTTCGGCTCACCACCAAAGCTTGCCTGCCTCCACGTTGTTGAGGTTAGCCACTAAGGCTTAGGGCTTTCCAACCCTTTCTCGTTCTCAAGTCAAGAGACTTAACTCTTGAGATGAGGGGTAAGTTTACTAGCTTCAAGAAATGGTTACAAACCTCTCGGAGCTACCACACAAGTTGGCAAGCTCCACAGGCAATGCTCTAGCCGGCTAGGAGCCAAGCTCCAAGAGTAACAAACATAACCGCTGGCCAAAACATGAACCAAATGCTCTTTTGAGTTGAGGAAACAATGGAGTTGCTCTCTAATCGAGTTTTGGACCCCTTTATCTCAAGGATTGATGGGGAAATCAATGGATTTGCTTGAGGGCTCAAGATCACTAATGGAGGGAGAGAGAGGGCTTCTTTTCTGTTTTGGGCGTGCTAGAGTGAGGAAGAAGAGGCAGAGTACCATTGGGGAGAAAGGGGAAAGATATAAATACCCCTAGCCCCCAATGGTCACTTGAGTCATGGTAGTGCCGCGGCTCAAATGCGGCAGTGCCGCACCAGTCAAGACAGCAAGGGTAAGAGTGAAGTGTAGACTGTCTTGGTTGTGAATCTGAGGATGCATATGTATGCTTGAGCACTTGGTAACACATGTTACCTTAAGCATTGTGTCCCCCTTTATAGTATGGCTTTTCCTATACTCAAATTCAAAATATAAAAGAATTTAAACCTCCATTGAGTTTGAAGCCATCAACATTTGTAATTGGGGGCTCCTCCATTTCGTGTAGCATCCTTGAATATAAATTCACTGCTTGTCATCTCGATATATCTCATTAGTTCTCTAATTACGTGGTCATTATCACCAAAACCCACAATTAAGGTTTGATTGCACTTTCAGCAGCAACCACCAAGAGTAACAAGCGAAACCCGCAGCGAAACACGAACATCAAGTTCCTTTAGATGCAATCACTCAAGCAATGCACTTGGATTCACTCCCAATCTCACAAAGATAATGAATCAATGATGGAGCAGAGTGAGAGGGCTTTGGCTAAGCTCATAAGGTTGCTATGTCAATGCAAATGGCCAAGAGAGTGAGCTTGAACCGACCAAACACCTTTTATAGAGGCTCCATCGAAATAGAGCCATTGGGCTCACAGAGCAGCCCAACTCGAGGTGACCGGATGCGCTGGTCATCATGACCGGATGCACGACCCCCAGCGTCCGATCAATGGATGCCATCCACGTGTCCCCTAATTAAACCTCTGCTGACCGATCCCAACGATCGAGTTCCAACATTCACGCGGTTAAGTTGAGATCGGACGCAGCTGAGCAAGACCGGACGCGCCGGTGATGATCCTACCCACACGCTTGCCCGCGTCAACACGCCTTGACTAGACGCATAGCTCCCCATGGCTTCCCGGCGTCAGGTCATTTCCAGTAAGCATCCAAACAAGAAAAACGACGACCGGACGTGCCCGTTCATAGGCGATCGGACACCGCTCCGAGTCCGGTCCTCTCTGGCTCGCGAAGAAACACACGTCAGCGTATGTCATCCCCTAACCAAACACAGGCCCTGCGCGTCTGGTCACTTTTACTATGCTGAATCTGGTCAGGATGCAACCGAACCCGAGCACGCCTACTTCGTAATAAATGACCGGACGCATCTAGCGCCGAGTTTGGTCACACCGAAAACCGTGTCCGATCAGTGAAAGACTCCTCCTTCACTTCACCAACTTCGCCATCCTTGCTCAAATGTGCCAACCACCAAGTGTATCATGTTGTGCATGTGTGTTAGCATATTTTCACAAAAATTTTCAAGGGTGTTAGCACTCCACTAGATCTAAATGCATATGCAATGAGTTAGAGCATCTAGTGGCACTTTGATAACTGCATTTCGATATGAGTTTCACCCCTCTTAATAGTATGGCTATCGATCCTAAATGTGATCACACTCACTAAGTGTCTCGATCACCAAACCAAAAAGCTCCTATCAAGTTTCACCTTTGCATTGAGTGTTTTGTTTTTCTCTTTCTTCTTTTCCAAGTCCAAGCACTTGATCATCAGCATGGTATCACCATCATCATGATCTTCACCATTTGCTCCACACTTGGAATAGTGCTACCTATCTCATGATCACTTTGATAAACTAGGTTAGCACTTAGGGTTTCATTAATTCACCAAAACCAAACTAGAGCTTTCAGCGTGTTTCTCACCACCTTTAGTTCCCTTTCCATTGTGCTCCATCGACAAGAGAATGGCTTTGGATCGGTGTAGCTATGAGGGGTGGTGTGGATGCACAATAATCGAGGTGCGTCGGCGAGTATGTTGTTCGGTGGTGGCGTTCTTCGGTAATTGGTGGTTGTCTTACAGGTTGTCATGTCTTGTCTATGACTTGTACTAAGTTGCTGTAGCAACTCTTGATTTCCCCTCTCTTCTTTGTCCCTCCACACCCCCCTCTTCTACACTTTGTACACCTTATGGTATGCCGGAAGTACGCTGCATGTGTTCGAGCTTTTAGCTCATTCGATTCAATATAAGTAGGTGGGAACTCCCCCCCCCCCGAATTGATCAAAAAAATATTATGTGTCTCGAATGTTGGGATTTGGTATGCATATAGGGGTGTGTGGATGATCATTATGGGATCCCTAACCCCATCTTTACATAAGTTGATAGGTAGGGTTACATGGGAATCACCCCCTCACAATCATTGGTTCTATTTTCTATTTGGTTACAAATTAGCTCCAAGTTAATCGGAATACATGTGCACCAAGTAGATGAGATGCCCCGGATGGATAAGATACATCATTAACCAATCGGCCCAGTTCACTTTGCCAGGGGGTAGGAGTTATAGCTTTTGTGAGGATACCTAAGGTCTACATATTCATCACTCAAGTACTGCTCACGCCATGGCTCGCACAAGGTATGCGAATGTGGAGCTCATGTTGTTACCCCTTGTCGGGGACCGAATACTGGGGTACCCAAAGAGGAGGAGCTAATAACCATCTGAAAGTGTATTTGCCCCCTATGTGGGTTTTGGTGTATTGATGACATCCAAATTAGGTTCTAATGTGATCTTAATGAGATATGTTGCAG